CTCCGGGGTGGGGCCCCTCACCGCTGCTGACGTTCAGTACGCCAGCCTCACGGGGGCCCTCGTCTTTGCCTTTGGTGTGCCTCTCCTAGATCAAGCCAGGCTGGTGAGCTACAGTACCCTGACCTAGCTAGCTAGCTAGCTGGCTAGCTAGCTAGCTAGATAGATAGATAGATAGATAGATAGCTAGGTAGCTAGCTGGGTAGCTAGCTAGCTAGTTGGCTAGCTTGATAGTATCTTGATAGATAAGTAGATATATAGAGAGGTAGATAGATAGATAGGTATATTGATAGGTAAGTTGATGTATTGATAGATTTGTATGCTGCTGGCTAGCTGGCTAGCTGGCTAGCTGTCCCCGTAAACGTTCACTGGCAGCTCACCATCTAGCTAGCTGGCTAGCTAGATGGATAGATATAGAGAAAGCCATATGCATAGCTGAGCAACCCCCTCAAGCGTTCATCGCTTCCTCGTGGGTTTCCTGCAGCTGCAGAGCTCGCTAGCTAGCTAGCTACTCTTGCTGGCTAGCTGTTCGCTATTGCTAGCTAGCTGGTTGCAGTTTGTGGCTAGCTAGTCGTTGTTGTCGGCTAGCTGTTGATAGCTACACAAAAACCCTAAACCCTAAACCCTAAACCCTAAACACCTGAAGAGTGTTCGGCGTTTGTTTGTGTTTGTATATATATATATATATATATATATATATATATATATATATATATATATATATATATATATATATATGTATATGTTGCAGGCGGTGGAGGAGCTTGGGGTGCAGCTGCGGGAGCAGCAGGTGGTGTATCGTGTGTTTGAGGATTTCGATGAAATAAATGAATATCATTTTGGCTATGAAAAAGAATTTGTGCAGACAGCGCGCGCACAAATAACAAAAGTTGGTACTTATGTATTAAAAAAAAAAAAAGGGGGGAGACAGACTGTTGTAGGCCTAGAGGTTAAACAAGGAAACCCAAACAACCAACATACATATGCACTCGTACGTTCTCTTTATATTCATTTCATTCAATAATATTATTCTTTATTATTTTGTTTTATTATGTTTTGTTTTTTTTTTATTTCGCTCAGTAATTGTTGTATTCTATGCGCCAGCTGTATACGCAACTGCACTCATACACCGGGTGTATATACACCAGCCAGCGGCATTCAACCTGCTTATGCTGTGGCTGTTTTGTTCTCTTAGTTTCATACATATTCAGGTGTATGTACAGAATGCAGGCCCATGCATGCATGCATGCATGCATGCATGCATGCAGTGTACAGCTCGCATGAGGGTATTTTGTTTTTTGTTTGTTTGGATATCATCTGTGTTCAGGTTAGAAACGGCAAAACATTAGTGGAGGGGCTGAAGGTGAAATCGATGCAAAAAAGCAAAGAAGGGGTCACCTCTCTACCGAAAGGAAGTCCGTGATATTCTCTCTTATGTTGCTGCTTTCTCCTTCTACGCTGCTGCATGCTCCTCATGGGGCTGTGCATGCATGCATTGCATGTAGCGAGAGACAGCCCCATGTGCAGGTGGAAATGTTTATAAACAAATTTGTTTATACCTCGGCAACGAAGCAGCAGATGGCTGTTCCTCTTCTTCTCGTTTTGCATGGCTTTCTGTCTGTCTGTTGTAGCAGTGGCTGGCGGGGCATGCGTGCATGCACTCTGTTGTATGCTGTATGTTTATCCCTTAAAA